GCCCTAACCCTAACCCTAGCCCTAACCCTAACCCTAGCCCTAACCCTAACACACTTCGTGATACCTAAGCCTAAGGTTATACTTTAACCTTTATGACTTAGGGTTAGGGTTAGGGTTTTTGCATCATTCCTTGATATACGGAAAGTCTGTGCATCAGTTGGTGATACACAGAAATCTGCGCATCACTTCGTGATACCTAAGGTGCATAAAAGGGGGGTAAAGTGGATTTGCGCCCCAGAGTACTGAGTACTGGCTGCCTACGCTATACTACGGCCATTACTGAGTCCCTAATCATATATCGCTAATATAACTGAAACTTGTAGTTTACCCAATTCACCACCAGACCTAGTGACCAGTGTACGTTTACCTCTTATTTATGATACTGCCTTTTCACAAATATACCTCTTTCAAATTGAGCACTTTTGGCGGCAACTTGGACAGCGGTGACATTTCGCCAGCACGGAGTAACGGACGACTAATTTGTGATTTTGTGTATGCGGGAAATCCGACACCGACGATTATGCTTATGTCTGTGTACCGAGAGAATTTCTCCAACATAACTGCCTCTATCGCTTAAGATAACATAAGTTTACCAAAATAAGTAATCAAACATGAGATAATATTCATATTGATTATTGTAAGACGAGGTACGACACTGTCACTAGAGTACGACGATAAACGACAGCAAAATGCAATGATTTGTGAACCGACAGATGGCGCTAAGAAAAATGTGTACCCGCATGTGATTGGCCAAGGTTGATTTTGTGTACTATTCGGAAAATCCGATATCAAATAAACACTGTAACTTAATATATTCTTTGTCACATAATATGGTTCTTTGTATGTATTTTAATATGTATTCTTTGTCACATAATAATGGTTCCACGCAAATCCTGTTGAAATGCGCACACACAGTCTGAGCAACACGATCATCAATTATTATTGTTGAGTTTACAGGCACATGAAACGTTTCAATAATAAAATAATGGAAATTGTAATAAGTACATGCATAGTAGGCCCACACGTTAATCTGTGGTAGGCCTACACGCACACACGCATGCACGCACGCACGCAAATAACCACACGGACTAATCCTTACCGCATAACGGCTCATTCTCCAGCTCAATATGTAGTTTAACATTAAAAAAACAACTTCCCACGTAGTGTTCTAGCTGCCACGTGGTCACTATATATGTAATCGCTATCTGTGCATAATACTCTGTCTGGTTAAATACATTGTAAGTAAAATAAAGCGCGGAAGCCATGCAGGGCAGTGCCGCCTAGCAAGGTCGCGATTTGCGATACTTTTTTGAACTGCTACTCTATTTTTTGTACTGCTACTCTATTTTTTGTACTGCCACTCTATTTTTTGTATTGCCATTCTATTTTTTGAATTATGTGATGAGTCGCCGAGATGCCCAGATCCTATCCCTATGCATCATATCAGTATCACATATGCATCATATCAGTATATGAAGAGGTAAATGGTGAGGCAGTATGCCTCTGTCTGTTTCTCTCCCTCTGTTTTTGTCTCTTTCATATTCTCTCGCTCTCCCTTTCTCTCTTTCGATATTGTTCATTCTGTAGTGTACTTCCTGCGCGCGCGCTCTCTCTCTCTCTCTCTCTCTCTCTCTCTCTCTCTCTCTCTCTCTCTCTCACTACCTCCCACTCGT